CTGTAGAAGCTTTTTATGGGATTATGATGCTTCTCATCGAAGCATACATTATGCCTCCTGGGAATGCATTACCAAGCCAAGAAGAAAAGGAGGCCTTGGTTTTCATGCGAGCGTGGACTGGATTGGACCTCTCAGGTCACGGATTGCTTGGGATTTTATTTCCAAACCGACAGAGCTCTTTCAGAGATGCATGATCCGAAAATATGGGAAGTGGCCATTGAATGTGGAGTTTAAACGTGGTGATTCAGGTGTTTGGAAGCTTATATGTGATGGAGCCAATTGTCTTAGCAGTTGTGTTCGTTGGAAGGTTTGCAATGGTCGGAATATTGAGGTCCTGAATCATATCTGGATCTGGGATTTGGCTCTCTCAGTTTGGCCTACATTTTGTGATGTTAAAGCTATTGAAGATTTGTTGGTTGCAGATCTGATTACAACAGCTGGTACTTGGAATAGGCAAAGATTGCTGATTTGCTTTGGAGTAGAGTTAGCTGATAGGATTTCAGATATTACTATCTGGAACGATATGGATGCTGATGCACTGGAGTTGATTAATTTTCCTCTTGGCTCTACTATTTCAGCAAATGTTTACAACCGAAAGTTCCAGGAAGATAATGATGTTTGCTTTTCATGCTTGAAGATTGGTTTGAGGCCTCGGGAATGGATGTTTTGGTGGAGGATCTTCAAGGATATCATTCCTACTAATGGCTGGCTATTGTCCCGTGGGTTTGAGGTAAATACTGATTGCCCAATTGGCTGTGGTGTAGTTGAAGATAGGGATCACGTTACTACCAGCTGCCAGCAGCTGTTGGAGGTGTTAAATGTGCTGGAGGGTTGGGGGTGGTTTACCCCACGCTTTTCTTCATTTCTGGATCTTCAAGTGGCAATGGAGGAAAATGTGAAAAACAAGGATATGAGGTTGCTTGTGTATTGTCTTGCGGTTTTTCACTGTTGGTTGAATAGAAATGCTATTAAGCATGCTAAGGGAAGATGTTCGGCGGTGTTCATGGCTGCGAGTATTCTGGAAGTTGTCAATCAAAGTTCGGTTCCTTTACACTTGGAGCAATGGGGCACTTATCAATCCGTTGGATTGTCTTCAGATCTTCCTTGGTGTCCCCCCCCTTCAGGCTGGTTAAAGGTGAACGTTGATGGTGCTCTTCTTAGATCCAATGCTGCAGGAGTTGGGGTTGTTTTGAGAGACAGCTTGGGGAAGGTGATTGTTGCTGCGGGCTGGAGTCTTTTCCATTGGGATAGCACTCAAGTTGAAATGTTGGCAATCAAATTCATTGGTAAAGTTTTAGTGGAGTGGATGTATGAATTCAAAGGCATTATTGTGGAAGGGGATAATGCCTCTGTTATTGACTATATGCAGAAGTTTAAGGCGAAGAAGCTGTGGAAGTATCAGATTGGTAATTGGGCAGATTGGGAGTGGATGGAATCCTTCCAGCAAATTTTATTTGTTCATACTCATAGGAAGTTCAACAGAGCTGCACATTTTTGTGCTAAAAGAGCTATAGAGGATACATTTGTGTGGGATATAGGAGATAGATTTAATTGTAACATTCCTCAAGAATTGCTTAAGATTCTTGAGGATGATAGTTGTTTCTTTTCTTTTTCTTAGGGTTTCTTATAACCCTCTTTTACTTTTTACAGTTGTAATGGTTTTTTAAAGGAATGCATATGCAAAGTTCACCTCTCTCCCTCCCTCCCTCTTT